AACCCTAACCCTAACCCTAACCCTAACCCTAACCCTAACCCTAACCCTAACCCTAACCCTAACCCTAACCCTAACCCTATAGTCAGCAAACTGACTGACCTTATAGAAAGACTAGGTGTATCGCTTACCATCCAGTCCTCGTCCGTAAGCCGCGACTCCGCGACGGCCTTATACAAATGCGCTTTGGAGGTGGCATTTTAAACCTGTAAATTCCCCTTGTAACGAGAACAAAACAATTTTGTTCAGACTAGGTATTGAAATAGAGGCCAAAATGAATAATGTTCTTGCTTGCATCTATAGGCTTGGAGTTTGAAACAGACAAGTCCAACAGGGGAGGAGAACTAGCCCTCGACACGAGGGCTGTGATAAGCCTCGAACTGACTGCAAATCTAGAATTGTGGAGTACGTCCTCTTCTTATAAGCTCTTTTCTCTAAAAGACTAAATAGCCAAAAGGCGGGAACCAGTCGTAAGCAGCGGGGAAACTAGGTGGGTACGATGTGTGGTAATGCTGCAGACCTAGAGCCCCGGAAATATCCCGGATTTAATGGGGTTAGTGGCGTGGAGAAGCGCCGAACCGTATCGCCGGTTCCAGTGTACCACGAGACGAGTATCATTTGGAGGCTGGAACCGGAGAGCTAGTATCCTCTAGCGCCTTATCCAGAAAACTTCTCCAGAAAGTTGGATACCCCTTACACAACAACATTATGAGACATGTTGCCAAAAGCAATCCTAAGAATATATAATTCACTTTCTTCTGTCGATCTTTTCATAACTTTCCATTAATATCGCTCTCGAAGACGGTAAAAATATCACAGCCTTCATCATGGTTCATGGTTCAGCAAACCTTCAGAGCTCCCGCATGGAGCAACTGAATAAGGGTCGACGTTCTGGCTTTCGAGGGCTTCTCGGAGCGAACCGATATGTCCTCATCTCTTCTGCCACTGCTTGCATCGGCTCCTTTCTATATGGAACAGATCAAGGTGTTCTTTCCAATCTTTTGACTGGAGAGAACTTTGGTGCAAAGTTTCCCGATGTCTATACTGACCCAGTCCTCAAGGGCTGGGTTGTGTCTGTTTTACAGCTTGGAGCTTGGCTAGGTGCTTTAATCAATGGCCCTCTGGCGGACAGAATCTCAAGAAAGTATAGTATCACGGTAGCAGCATTCGTAAGTATTTTACATCAAATCGTTTCATCTAAACTGACGATGTTGTAGTTGTTCACTCTTGGCAGCGCCTTATGCGGTGGTGCTCAAAATATTGTCTACTTGTTTGTTGGCAGAATTATTGCAGGAATCGCCGTAGGACAAGTTTCTCATGTAATTCCTCTGTATCTCGCCGAAATCTCTCCATCCGAATACCGAGGAGCTTTAGTCTCTTGCCAACAACTTGGAATCAGTAAGTCAAAGAAGATGATGGTTATCTCAAATGCGCTTTCTAACATTGAAAAGCTGCCGGCATAATGGTCTCATACTGGCTCTGCTACGGAACCAGTTTCATTGGCGGTCAATCATGCAATGCCGATCAGTCTGCTGAATTCGGAAGCACTACTTTCAATCCATATACGGATGTCCCACCAGGTGGCTGTACAGGCCAGAAGGCCATTGCTTGGAGACTCCCATTATATCTACAAGTCGTTCCGGCCCTTATACTTCTCTTTGGATCTCCTTTTCTGCCCTTCAGTCCACGATGGCTCATGTCAAAGGGCAGAGAAGAAGAAGCTCGCACAAATATTGCTCGGCTCCATGGACTGCCCCTCGATGACCTTATTGTCGACACCGAGTGGCGTGAAATCAAAGCATCCGTTATCTTCGACGAAAGAACAGCTCGAGAACTCAGCCCGAATAAACAAGGCATTCGCTTGGGTCTCGCCAAAGTTGGTATGCTCCTTTCCAACAAGGGTCTGTTCCGACGACTTGCGTCGGGCTGTATTTTGATGTTTTTCCAACAGTTTACTGGTAAGTACCTGATTCTAGTTTGATTCATACGTGCTCCCCTGCGGCGACAGTATACTGACTCTGACTTCTAGGTATCAATGCAATCATTTACTATGCGCCTACAATCTTTGGAAGCCTAGGTCTCAATGCTTCAACAACTTCTTTGCTGGCAACTGGTGTGCTTGGCGTGGTTGACTTTGTCTTCACCTTTCCATCCATCTTTTGGGTTGATCGATTTGGTCGCCGTATCTTCTTGATGGCTGGAGCGCTGGGCATGTTGATCAGTCATGCCATAGTTGGTGGAATCGTTGGTCATTATAATGGCGATTTTACGAAACCAGGCGGCCATGCTGCAGGCTGGGTTGGAATTGTTTTCATATGGGTAAGTGATTTCTATCTCATCTTTTGTACTTGGCTAACAAATCCAAGGTTTTTGGTGCCAACTTTTCCTACTCTTGGGGTCCTGTGGCATGGCTTCTTGCAGCTGAGATCTTCTCCCCAGGACATCGTAGTCGAGCTGTGAGCATCATCATTAGTTGCAACTACATGATGAACTTTGTTGTCGGCCAAGTTACCCCTAATATGCTCGACAAGCTCAAGTTCGGCACTTATGTCTTCTTTGGAGTATTCTGTCTCCTCATGTTCCTGTGGGTGTTGTTCTTGGTTCCAGAAACTCGATATAAGTCATTGGAGGAGATGGATCTTGTCTTTGGCGATAATTCTGGTGCAGTGGATCGGGAGCGGATGAACCAAATCATGGCCGAAGTTGGGCTTGAGGCAGAGGTCCAGGACGAGAATTGGCAAACCGTAGCTTCGGATGCCAAAGGAGATGGCAAACTTTCTGACAAAACTTTGAAGGAACATGCTTAGGCTGGGTAATAGTTACAATCATCCAAGTCAACAGAGTCTCTAAACCTCTCGCTATCAATAATATCCGCATACTTTCACTGTACTTGTGTTCTGAGTTTTACTTTGGCAATGACAAGCTTCTTTATTCAACAGTCCAAGATAAATGCACATGATGCTTTCTACGAGACAGGATTGCCGGAGCAACGAAACATCACTCTTGCGTCCAAGAAAATGGCAGTGAAGCAGGTCCAAGTATAGTCCCAAAGCTGGCGTTACATGGCCTCAGATTTTAGAGTGTCCTTCTGGCATGGGATTGATATACAAGCGGAAAACGTCAAGATAGGAACAAGAAAGCCACTTTCCGATATTCACTTGCAATCCAGATAACACATGTATGTAATGACCATTAAGAACCGCCACAATTCTTCATGATTGATTATCTGATCGATAGTTTCATACAACTATAACCACAATGTCCAGTTAAGCCTGTCCTGCTGAGCCACATATACGCATCCATTCAGCAGTCAAGTCAGCGACTTTTTGAACTCCCTGCTCCATCAGCGTGGTGTGTGGTACCGTACCAACATTTGCCTTGAGATGATCATAATAGTCATCAAGAGATATTCTATTCACGTTTATTTTGCAAAGCCCTGCTGCAATACACTTCTTCATTATCTCAGGGGTGAATGTGTTGGTACCGTGCAATGCAAAATGCACCCGACCTCCAAGTTGATTTCTTAATTCTTGTACTCTATCAAAGGCATGTCAGCACTCGTATAGTATCTTGTAATTTGCGAAGGGTCCAAAAGTAAAAAGACTAACTCACCTTTCGAAATCAAGCTGTGGGCCTTGTGTTCCGTATGGGTTATCTCCATGAATATTGCCAAAGGCTGGAGCTAAAGTATCAACGCCGGTATCCACAAACTGCTCAGCAGTGATGCCCGTGGATTGGATTTGGCTGGATTTTCGATGTGATCCAAATCTACTATAGATGAACCCGATCCAAATCCAAAAAATGGCGAAATCCATTCAAATCTGATCCATCCATGGGGTAGAATAGTGGCAAAAGTCAGTGGTGATATTCACCTAATTTCTACTACAGAACGTTAACTATGTCTATAGCATATATTATAGATTATACCTCTCATCCTCTACTAAATAATATATACTATAAAAGTCGTCATCGCCCTAATTACTCTCTTTAGATTCACTATTATCTGAACCATCTTCAATGGCATCCTCCTCCTTCTCCTGTAGTATTGTAAGGGGCGAATGTAAGCGTGATATCAGGATGGGGAGCAATGAGTATGAATTGGTGTCAAGACTGACGACTAAGGAGTAAAACTAAGGTGGACACTGTGCGTAGCTTAAATACTGCTTCCCCCTGGAGCATGTGACCCGCGGCCTGAGCGTAGCTATACCGTGCGTATGTTCCCACTCAGTTCCTCACAGCTATATTGGTGCGAGCACGTTTTATATCATGTCGCTTTACCATTATCAGGATAATTAGAGAATCACAAATAAATTTGATTAATAAGAGGCTAATGTATATGCAGTTTGCTTAGTATATGCAGTACTAACGCAACACTAAAATCGGGCCTATCACCAACTATGGATGGATCATATTTGGATGGATCACCACCCCTAAATCCAATCCAAATTTTGGGCCTCTAGGCACCAATCCATGGCCGATCCAGAGGGGGTCGATCCAAATCCATGAAATCTTGATCCAATCCACGGGCATCACTGCTGCTCAGCCTCTTCAACAGTTGTTTTGACGGATTCCAAGCCAGCTGTGTCCATGACGCCTTCTTCTCCTCCCTCAATTCTGCCAGATTCTGCCTCCGTTGCGATTCCACGGTCCTGGAGATAAGCGGCTAGTTCGGCGGTCTTTGCGAGATTCACGTCCTTTTCGTAGTGCAACATGTCCACCATGATGCTGTCAAATGGTAGCTTTGCGGCTCGTTTGATCAGGTTCTCGTCTTGAGCATGGTCGAGATGAATCGAAATCGGCACGGCGCTTTTCTGGACTGCAGCATTTGCTGCGTGTATTAATACGCCATTAGAAAAGGTGATGGCTCAAGGGAAAAATTGCAAATTCAAGGGTGAGCGTGCTTTCTCTGCCGCTTCGACGAGACCAAGGATTTGTTCGATGTTGTATGCAATCGCGGCCATTACTCCATATCTGCCTTTCTTAGCGGCCTTCAGGATTTGGAGATGCCTGTTTTGAGACCTCCAATCTTTTTGCGCGGGCATTTTTCCGGTGTTTGGTTTGCTCAACAGTGGCTCTGAAATTATGCAGGATGGAAGGTTTTCATCAATACATTCGATGTGAAGATGAACTGAAGACGTCGAAGAGGCTACTCTGTAATTTCACGTGATTCATGAATGGACAAATATTCAGACACTCCTGCAGCTCTTGTTCTAGTTCAAATACGCACTAGCAACTGAAAGGGTTAGAATTATGTCCGTCTCGAGATTTAGGAATTGTTGTTATCGTAATTGGCTGCACCCGGGACTTGCAACCATGGATGACATGCGAGTAATTACAGGTAGCATCCATCGGCCCGAGGACAAGCAGAATTTCGGATAGTGGCATGAATTTGGCCGGAACCAAGCTCAATACACCGAGAGAAACGCCACAAGCTCTTCAGCTGACCAAACTTTTGCCTTTGAATCATTTGATTCAATGCTCCGATCGCCTCTCGAATCTAGATGTAGTGCCTCGAGTAATGCTGAACGGTCAAGAATCAAAAGGAATATTTTCACAAAAAGACGGGCTCCTTTCCTTTACAGAAAAACCAGATTCACTTGCACCACTCTCACTGAAGAGAGATCTTAGCTGTGTGGGCCGACCCCATCTCGAGGCTCCACCCCCGCGATTTACACGGCGATTCTTTCTCCATTATTGTCTCGCATGTAACGTTGGACCGTTGCCATACTCATCATCCTCTAATTGTGTAATGCCATAATCCAAAAATAGAGACCATTGGTCTTTTCTCGTCACGGAGTCTTCTGTCGCCCGAGATATGCCTCCGCCTCCAAAGCGCATCCGCGCCCGCCCGTCTCGCCGTCGCGGTCTGAGGACAAGTCAAGGATGGCAAGTACCGAGCCAGGGTTTGTTTAGCTATATGAGAATTATAATTTAACCAGTTCTTTAGCATTACATGCCGGAAGCGGCACGTGAAATGCGATGACACCAAGCCTGCGTGCCTTTCAAGTCAAAGGGCTTCGCGGCTGTGCGAATACTCTGACCCGAAGCCGCTGGAACAAAAGCAAAACACCATTGAGCAGACGACTCATGCTACTAGCCGATCAAGTCATACCAGTCTCGCACTCATTGATGAAAATGTCGTATACTCTCTGAATGAGCAGCAACAGCAGCAAATATTCGAGCGATCATATCTTGAATCTCCCGTTACGAGCCACTCAGCTCCTAGTCCAGAGATGCAAATACATGGAGGTCCAAACTCCGGTTCTTTTGGTACAGGAATCGCGATCTTACCGAACGACGGAGTTCATAACCAAGCCAGTCCCAATAACTATCAATCGCGTCAAACTATTCAAAGGGTGATGGCATCGACCATGCTACTGCTCATTGGTTTGATCTCCTCGTTGGAGATGCGAGGTTACAGTTCGAAGAGCATCATGAAGATCGCTCCGATGAACGACCTCAAACACCCGTCGATGCTCTAGATATCTCTAGGCGTAATAGTGGACCTCAAATTCTCGACCCAAGTCTAGGAGGAAGCCCTTGGAAGTCGACCAACACTCTCAAACTCGGTCCATATGAGACACGAATCTTTGGAAACTTTATCTACAATGTTGCCTCGTAGATTGATCTTATGGATAAGTCCCGCCACTACTCAATTCTCGTCCCGCGGCTGGCCATGAGGAATGTTGGCCTTCTCAAGGCCATTCTAGCTCTCTTGACACGCCATCTATCGCTAAACCATTACCTCACGGATGGTATCGTGTACCGTCGTAGCGAAGCTTTGCGTTACTATCATACCACTCTCAAATATATCCATAAGGCGATGCAATATGACGATTACAATACAAGCGATGAACTACTTGCTACAGCGCTCATTATCTCTGCTTATGAAATGCTCAACAGTGGACAGCAAGATTGGGAGCGACATCTACAAGGTATCTTCGGCATTCGACGCTCACAAATCATCCACGGAGATTCCGGAGGACTCCGCGGTGCCACTTGGTGGGCATGGCTGTCTCAGGACTCGTGGGCTGCATTTCGCGACAAACGGAAGCCATTCACCTTCTGGCTTCCCCAAAGAGTGGATTTCAAACAAATGGATTCTTGGGATCTCGCTGCGAGGTCACAGTTTCTGTTCGCCAGGGCAGTGGGCTATAGCGCTCAGAGGTTGGGTAACGACACAGCAGATCATTTTTGCGCGAAGATGGATGAAGCAAATGTTTTGCATGCCCAACTCGATTCTTGGAAGGATAGCCTTCCTATAGAGTTCGACTCCCTTCCACACACCGTGAACGATGAAGGTGCCAACTTCAAAACAATTTTGATCCATCCACCCGCTTTCGCCGTTTCTGTACAACTCCACTATGCATCGAGAATTCTTCTCAGTCTTCATCGACCTCTTCTTAGGGGAGTCAACGTCTTTCTTGATCAACAACGGCTGCTAAGGGACTGTATTGCCCAGATTTGCGGTATTACAAGAGCCCTAACCGATGCAGCATCCAGTATTCTTAGCTTTCAATATTTATTTATTTATTGCGGGAACATGTGTCGACAATATCCAACACAGGGAGGAGATAGCTATGCTCATACAAATGTGTCGAGCTCGAGTCGGCTGGCCAGTAAAGTCATTGGAAGAAGAATTACATAGGATTTGGCAGGCAGCATGATGAATAAATCACTGGCAATGAATGATTTACACCGCATGGTTAGGATACTCCAAGTTTTCGCAGCAGTTCCGTTCCTCCTGTTGATCAGTACCCAGCGTTCTATAAGACAGCAACATCAAGTACAGCACACCAAAAGGTGTACTTTACGATATGTTTGATGCATTTGATTGATGAACTGTTTCAACTGATTGTCTAAGTTCGTACGGCTGTCCCAGCGTATCAGAGGATTGATATTGAGTGGCTGGTAGGAGGTGATATCATACTTGTCGCCGAATCTGGCTCACTGACTGTTGTCAAAGTAAGCTCCAGAAGCAGAGCCGTAGGAACAGCCGGGCTGAAAATCGCCGCAAAATATCTTCGAAACGAATGTTAGTCATTAGCGAAGGCGTTCGCTGACCTGTCTCAAAAGTACAGTATCAAGACATCCTATCATCAGTTCTAAAAAAGATGCCAAAGCAGACCTACCTAGATAAGGTATTCAGTAAATGGGTGGTCTTATAAGAAATGGACTAATCACAGTCTTATCAATGATTGATTGATCTAGAAGTATTCATTGCAAACGTATAGGTCATTCTGTTTGCCGATATTTTCGTGTAGGTTGAAATTTCAATCTTTTCATTAAGACCTGCACCATCCATATATCTATGTTGTCATTTGTTCAAACTACTTACTTTCCAGCCTTGGAATGGATGAATAAATGTTCGAAATTTAATTTCCTGACCGCTGAGGGCACTTTCTACTCCATATAGTTGACGAACAAACTTACAATTTTGTGAAGAATCAAAGGTAGCCACATAAGCATGATGTTCATTCATGAATCCACTAGAAGCGCATAACAGGTACAGTATATGACTGACCAAGCCGATCAGGTTTTCAAGTCAGTGGCGCAAGCCGATAGGACCCAGGCAAAATCCCTTGCATGATTAACCTCTATTTAAGCATTCAATAATGTCGAGAATGAGAGCTTGATACCTTTGATGTACAAACATTCTGAAGTTTCAGCCCTGCAATGCACATGACAAGCAAGAATTAAACTCATTCAAACAACGGTATAACCACCATCGACTCTTAGGTCGGCTCCTGTTACATATAAGGACGCATCCGACAATAAGAAAGTCATGGCCCCAGTCAGGTTTTCAGGAGTACCCAATCTCCCTTGCGGAGTCAATGACGTCCATCTTTCATTAAGATCAGGCCTCGCGTCTATTATCTTTTGTGTCCTGTGTAGCCAGATATCAGTTATCAAAGCTCTATGACGAACGGGATGCAAGTAGTGTAACTTACAAATCGGTAATTATGTATCCTAGGCTCAAACAGTTCACACGAATGCCAAACGGGGCCCATTCTACGGCCAAGTATGCAGCCATATGTCGAACCGCGGCCTTTGAGACATTGTACGGAGTTTGTACTTGAGGCACGTTCACAACGCTTCCTGACATGCTACCGATAAGTAGGATGCTTCCTTGAGAGTTGCGCTCCATTAGATGCTTGGCGACTGCGACTGAAAAGAGATAGGAGCCGTCAACGTTGACAGCCCAGATCTTCTTAGCTCGCTCAATGGGATAATAGACCGCAGAGATATTATCAATGATGGCAGCTCCGCTGATGAGATTATCGATCCTGCCGTGAGCCGCTATGATTTCCTCGACAGCAGCGTTTACAGATACAGTATCTGAGACATCTGCAAAGTGAGCAGTAATTTTGATTGGGCTGATAGATTCGATGTTAGTGGATAGTGTCAAAGGAATACAGCTCGATTGGTAAAAGTACTTACTTTGTCTCATTGGGGTTCAGTTCCTTGAACAAGCCCTCGAGATGAGCAGCTTGGCTCTTGGATTCTTCGACTAGTTTCATACGTGAGTAAAACAAATTCTGTGATATTCAAACATTATACAATACATACTGTTGATATCTACAATTGCTAGATGCGCACCGCTAGTAGCTAGTGCTTTTCCAAGCACTAGTCGATACCGCGGGCTCCACCTGTAATGACAACAACTCGACCTTCAAGGGAAAAAGAGGCCAAAGTTCTTTTCTGGTGTTTTGTTCCGAACTCTTGAGGTATCGACACATTCTTCGGGGCATTTGAATGTATTTCTAAGGGATTAACGACTAAGGGAGTTCCTAGAACAACTCCATTTTTCCCACGGTCTGAGGTCGATGAAACAGGGGCGACGGAGGAATCGAGATTGACGGTAGCCATTTTACTGACGATATGAATAAAATGCTGGATTGTAGTGTTGACAGAGATTGTTTCAAGAAACTCGATAAAGGTCGACCTGACCAATATATAAGAACAGAGTTGCTAGAAGTAAAGTCCTCAAAAACGACTTGGATTTTCTGGATCTCCGTTGCTCCGTAACAGTACGACTAAGTGCTAGTGAATCTGCCAATAGTACAGAAGGGACTGATTGATCGTACTTGATTTTCTCTTCTAGAACATTGATTTCTTCGCCTCCATCAGTGGCTGTCTGCATCAATGGTAGCCTCGGATCATGTGCACATTGACAACACACGTCGTCTCGAGGGTCAACATCTAGATCGTAAATCAGTACGAAGAGAAGTACCTTGCAGTACGCTGGGACCGTGACCCTGTCTTCGGAAAGACTAGTTCATGTGCGATACATGTACAAGTACCTAAGTATTCAGGGGTCGCTCGACACCATGGGGCTAAGTGCAAAGTAATTTGCGGGGTGCTCCGGAACAGTTCCCCATGGTTGCACTAAATGCGGATAGCCATTTGTCGCGACAATGCCTCGACACGGGCACCCATCCTGGCTTTTCACAATAAGACAAGTGGGAAAAAGGCGACGATCCGCCTCTGCCGTGGTCAGGCTAGATGGTGAATCCACTTGTTCGGGGCCATTTGCCTCGAAATTCGGCTTTTTGGGCCTAAGTCAAATTCTGTTTTTCAGGCAACATTCGGAAAGAATTTCTGCTAAGTTCGTTGTTTATTTTTCGGTGGCGCGAGAATAAAAAGTCATCCAACTTACCCTCAACTTTTCTTGTTGCAGCACAATCGCATTTAACTTGAGAATTACTAAACTCTTCCTTCTATCCTGTAAATGTCATCCGCAAACATGTCTCCATCCGCTATTGTTCCCGAAACTGCCGAATCCACTCCCTACATAGTCCCTCAAACTCAGGTCGCCCTAGGAGGTAAAGTCATTGCGAGTAAGTTATTCATGGAGTGAAGCGACATTGTCTGTGGATTCCAATTTGAATAACATATATCCAGTCACTGGAGCAAATCGTGGAATCGGTCTCGGCATTGCAGAATGCTGTCTCCAGAACGGTGCCGAAAAGGTTTACTCAATTGATCTCACTGAACGCGGCGACGAGTATGCTGCTCTCCTTAAGAGATTCCCCGGAAAACTCGGCGCCGTTACAGCAAACGTTACACAAGAAGAAAGTATTACTTCTGCGATTGACAAGATCGTTGAGGAGGCCGGTGCCATCCATGGAGTAGTTGTCAATGCCGGAAGGACGAATCACAAGTCCGCTCTAGACTTTACAAAGGAAGACGTCGAGACTCTTTTCGCTGTAAACGTGCGTTACATTCTCATAAACATGTATATGGTTGTTTTCTAACCTCTTGTAGCTTTTTGGAGCCTTCTATCAGTGTGCTGATTGGATGGATCGGATCAGCGATCCGACTCCCAAGTGGGTCTCTTGGCGGATCTGGATAATCCACTAGGATTATCCGGATTGATCCACCTGAGGCCCTTTATGGCGTTACTGAGGCTGTTGATTATGCCACATATGACTTAAAATAGAAAATATTTATGATGGTGAAGTGCTCGGATTGCTATTACTTTAAATCTATAATCTTAGCCTTAGCCCATGATTGCAAGCATTGAGTCGCTTGGATCGTTTGAGGCTTCAGGTGGTTGCGGTGCTTGGTCACCATATGACCTAATCGGCTGAACAAGCGTTCAGGCTCATCGCTCATCGCAGGTATTGACAGCATATCCAATGCCATTTTGGTCAGATATGGATATTCGATGCATCCAGTGGTGGACCACCACTCAATCGGCTTATCAGTGGTAACCAATGGCTGCATAAGGTACCGCTCGAACTCATCAAGGCCAATTGGTGCTTTTGAGGCTTGTGCCTTAATCTCAGCGAGGG